TATCTGTTAAGTCCATTTGATGTATAATGGTAATTAAAACTGATATTTCTGTATTTTTTTGTTTTAGATGATCTGTCTATTGGAAAAAATGGGTATTGAAATCCCCTACTATTGTGTGTGTGTGTGTGTGTGTGTGTGTGTGTGTGTGTGTTGAGACAGGGTTTTTCTGTAGCCTTGGCTGTTTAGGAACTTACTCTCTAGACCATGCTGGTCTTGAACTCACAGAGATCTGCTTGCCTCTGCCTCCCAAGTGCTAGGTTTAAAGGTGAGCACCACCACACCCCTGCTGAAATCCCCTGTTATTAATGGATTGATGTTAATCTGTGTCTTTAAATCTAACAGTACATTTTTTATGAAATAGCATGTCCCAGAGTTTGGTGCATTTATGTTTAGGATAGTAATGTATTTTTGGTTACCAGCCCATTTTATTAGAATGAAGTGTCTGTCCCTCTTTATCTCTTCTGTTTGGTTTTAGTTTGACATCTATTTTGTCAGATATTGGGACTGTGATGCCTGCTTGTTTCCTGGTATCATTTTGTTAAGAGTACATTGGCCATCCTTTTACTCTAGGGCAGTGCCTGTCTTTAAAGATAAGATGTCCTCCTTATAGACAGCAGGTAGATGAACTTTGTTTCTTGGTCTATTCAGTCAGCCTGTGTCCTTTGGTTGGAGAATTGAGGCCACTGATATTTCAAGTTATCATTGAAATGTATGTTTTTTATGGTTTTAAATATTTTTTATGGTCTATTTAACTTTATTTTATGTGCATTGGTGTGAAGGTGTCAGATTCCCTGCAACTGGATCTTCATACAGTTGTGAGCTGCCATGTGGGTGCTGGGAATTGAACCCTGGTCCTCTGGAAGAGCAGTCAGTGCTCTTAACCACTGAGCCATCTCTCCAACCCCTGAAATGTATGTTTTAATTGCAGTCATTGTGTTGTTAATTCTTGGTGTTGTTTGTGTTCTCAGTGGTACTTTGTATTTTAATGGTTATGCTTTTATATTTCTTTCTACAGACTTTGTTATGCTCATTCTTCTCTTCATCCCAAACTGTTGCTTCCTGTATTTTCCTTAAGTTTGGTTTATTGGATATGTTTTTATGTTGCTTATAATGTGGAAAGTTTTTCTTCCTCCTTCAATCATGGCAGATAGTTTTGCTGGGTATATTAGTCTGAGCTGACTGACCTTTTAGGACTTGGACTGCATTGCTCCAGACTTATGGATTTCAGAGTTTCCATTGAGAAACTAGCTGTTATTTTGACAAGTTTTCCTTTATATATGACTTGTGTTTTTTCTCTTGCAGCTTTCAATTCACTTTATTTGTTATGTATATATACTTAGTGGTTTAACTGTGATATTCCATACTTCCTGTATTTGTATGGGTGTGTCTTTCCTTGGTTTGGGAAAGTTTTTCTTCTGTCGTCTTGTTGATTATCTGGTCTAAGCCATTGACTTCGGATTCATCTCTCTTATCAATGTCTGTAATTTTGAAGGTTTGGTTTTTTTCTTAGTGGTCCGAGCCAGGAATATGGGGGCGTTTACCAAGTTTGATGCCAAGGTTGGAGGTGACATGGAGGAGCCTATTGGTTGACCTGTAGGTAGGGAATGTTCTGGCAGAAACCTAGGCCAGGATATTAGTTGTGGGGCCTGGGGAGAAGGGGTGAATGGTCAGGGAGACTCACTAGGCCAGACCCCGAAGAAGGACAGGGGAGGTCTGGCAGTTACAGTTTTAACAGAGCTGTTTTGATCTTTGGCCCTCTTTTGCTTCTTTTCTCTTTAAATTCCCTTTGACATAGATAATAGATATGTTACTGTATTGTGGAAATGAAATAAACAAATGTGAGTCTAAATGTGATTGTGCATTGTAAGGTCAACGTTTGTATTTAATTATTCTATGAGTACTTTTCCCATTAAAATTTGAATATAAAATTGAATGTAACTGTGTTAATAGAATAAATGTTGCAATTTGGAGAAAATAAAATTCCCATTTTTCCCAATAACAACAATTTCAGTTGAATTGTCTGTCATTTTATAGATTATGAGTCTTAAAAAATTCCTGCAGTATCTTAGGTTTAAAAAACTACTGATGATTAAACCAGGATGTAAGGCATGTTAAAGAAATTCACTACCAGTGAATTCCATCTGCAGTAGTGTGTACAGTTATTTTAATTGATCAGAGCAGTTTTGAGATGGATGCTAAATGACTATTTTTGGATGGGTCTTTTGTTATTTGAATGCTTTCAATATGACAAAGGTGACTGTGTATATATACTACTTCAGAGAATCTGGGTGAGAGGTGTGTATGTGTGAGGTGTGCACAAGCAGCAGTGTACGGTTAAGATGTGCCAGAAGAGATACAGAGTGGTCAGTCTTAGTAGCAGTAAGTTCCAGGAGACAATGTGATGTAGTGTTTGAGCTGCTCTAAGAATGGTAGAATTACAAGAATTATATGAAACAGTCCAGGTGGATCATGTGTCTTAAGGTAAAAGCAAGAAGTAGGTGTTTTACTGATACTTTGAAAGTAGAAAATTGGATTGAAAAGAACTAGTGTTTTAAAAATGTAACATAATTATTTAATAAACATAACATTTAATAAAGATATAGTATGTGCCATGTTAAATGAGATTAGTGGGCATAGGTGGAGAATAGAGATCAGAAACTGTCCTGGATAGCAGCTGAAGGCATTTTCATGTTTGTTTTTTGAGTATGAAGGAGTCAGTGATGCATTAAGCAGTAATGTGTATTGCCTGAGGTAGAAAGTAACTAAATAATTGACTGAATCTGAGACAGGGTTTTGCTGTAGCTTTGGAGCCTGTCCTGGAACTAGCTCTGTAGACCAGGCTGGCCTCAGACTCATAAAAGATCCGTCTGCCTCTGCTTCCCGAGTGCTGGGATTAAAGGCGTGCACCACCAACACCGCCAGGTAGGTGACAGGAGCTTCTTAGGGCTCCATGTGACATCTAAGACTGCATTAACATAAGACTGAGGCCAGAGAGTTCAATGACTTGCCCAAGATCACAAATAGAGATAGATATAAACTGAGCAGTTAACTCCCAAATAAACTCAGCAAATAAGTCTAGTAGTGGTGTGAAAATATCCCTGGAAAATGGAAACTGAGTCAGAACCCAGGTAGGAGACTGCAGTCATAATGTAAGGAAAAAGAAATAACAGCATACATAGAAAGTAGGAAAGTTGTCTTTCCTTTTTCTACTTTGGCATGTCGTCTATTGTCCTTTTGTTGAGCTCGTGTTTAGGCAGTCATGTTGGTGAAACATGGTGGTATAGCTTCTGACATTAGTAGGAAAAACAGTCTCACAGCAAACTCCCTGATGTTAGAATCTCTCCACTCTTCCACAGTGATCCCTGAGCCTTGGGTGTGGGAGTTATTCTTGTAGATATCAGGGGACTGGGCTCCACAGCACTGTGCTGTTACTGGGTGTGGTTTTCTGTAATGGCTCCTGTTCAGGGATGAGGACTATCACTTATTTGTGGATCTAAAGATAGGAATGTAGTTAGGGTTATGCTGGCTTAGTAAAGTGGTGGTTGTAGGTTCTCTTCTAAGATCTGTGACTTTACCTGCTAGTTAGGTAGGTTGAGAGGAATCCATTTTTTTACACTTCTTTTTTTAAATTGTTTTTATTGAGCTATATATTTTTCTCCCCTTTTATCCTCTCATGGTCCCCATGCTCCCAATTTACTCAGGAGATCTTGTCTTTTTCTACTTCCCATGTAGATTAGATCCATGTATGTGTCTCTTAGGGTCTTCATTGTCTGGGTTCTTTGGGGTTGTGAGTTGTAGGCTGTTTTTCTTTGCTTTATGTCTAAAAACCACTTATGAGTGAGTACATATGATATTTGTCTTTCTGGGTCTGGGTTACCTCACTCAAAATGATGTTTTCTAGCTCCATCCATTTGCCTGCAAATTTCAAGATGTCGTTATTTTTTTTCTGCTGTGTATTACTCCATTGTGTAAATGTACCACATTTTCCTTATCTATTCTTCAGTTGATGGGCATTTAGGTTGTTTCCAGGTTCTGGCTATGACAAATAATGCTGCTATGAACATAGTTGAACGCATGTACTTGTGGTACATTTGAGCATCCTTTGATATATACCCAAAAGTGGAATTGAGGTAGGATGTTTCCTAATTTTCTGAGTAATCGCCATAATGATATCCGAAGGGGCTGTACCATTTTGCACTCCCACCAGCAATGGAGGAGTGGTCCCTCTTCCTCAGGGAAGAACAGACAGCTGATTATCTATACCTCTAAATATATATACAAGGAACATTATACAGACTGAGGTTATTATTATATATAAACACATATATAAGAATATATGTGTGTGTGAGTACATATATATGTATATATATGCATATAACAATTAATAATAATTATTGAAAAAGAGGCCATAATTTGAAAGAGTAAGGAGGGGTATGTGGGAGGAAGGAAAGGTAAGGGTAAATGATATAATTATATTATAATCTCAACAGTAAAAGAAAAATATCCAATAAAGAAAGTGGGAAAGTTATAGAGGAATTGATTCTGGATGGATTTTCATCTTCTAAATAATGTATATTTGTGCAGTCTAGGCCTGTCAGTTATCCTGACGGCTGCTGGGGGACTGTGTATCCCCAGAGCTCCGTGGGATTGGATAGTTGTTGTGTTTACCTGGCTTTGTGGATGGTTTAGAAACTTGAGGATGGGCCAAAGTATAAAATGTGTGAGATTTTGGAACTTGATGCTGCTTTACATTAACTTTAGCTTTTGAACGGGCAAGGCTTGAGATCATTACCTTATTGGTCCTTTTTATACCCAGGGGTTTAAAACACAGAGTACTTCAGTGACCATGCTGCCATAGGTACTTAAAGAAATATTAGCTTTTCCTCTGCATAAATTTAAGAGTTCTAAAATGGAAAGAAAGTTGTTTCAGCCATTAAAATTAGTTTTAGAAGATCTAAATGAATAAGGTAATACTTAAAGAAAATTTCTTTTCTTTGTAGAATGGCATTCACATGTTCATTTTGTAAATTTCGAACCTTTGAAGAAAAAGATATTGAGCTGCATCTGGAAAGTTCTTCACACCAGGAAACATTAGATCATATTCAGAAACAAACCAAATTTGATAAAGTAGTTATGGAATTTTTACATGTAAGTAGGGGTTTTTGAAACGAGAAGCATTTTATTTGATCTGAATTTATTTTTTATAATTTCTTTCACCTTTTTGTTTCTAAAAATTTAATAATTACTCATCTAAGGAAAGTTGTTAAAGCTAATTAGTTGTGAATTCTATTTTAGAATATGGATTTGTAGTGTGAGAACTTATTTTTCATAGTCATTTCTGAGAAAATTGTTAGAAAAGAATTCCTTTAGTCATTGTATGATTCAGATCTAACTGCCATCCCTGCACAGTTCACTGTGTGCCTGGGAGTATGATCTTCATTTCGGATGAGCTTCCATAATCCCCCCCCCCCCCAAGTAATGATTGAAAGGTCATGTCCATAGAAGCTAAATGACCTTGTCATAGGTATCAAAGTCAGAATTCTGAGCCAGAGAGGCGGGCATCTGTCTGGTGTCTTTTCCTTGTGTAGTTATCAATTTAATAGGTTATTTTGAAGACCCCAAGCTTTGTTAATGAACCAACTGTAATTGAAAATAAAACATGTTCACAGGTGCACAGATAGTCTGTTTAGGTGGAAATGCCAATAATGCATAGATACTTTGGGAATTTGAAGAAACAAAACAAAAAGATACTGCAAGAGGTTCGAAGCCGGGCAGTGGCAGCTCATGCTTTTAATCCAAGCAACCCTTAGGAGGCAGAGGCAGGCAGATCTCTGTGAGTTCAAGGCCAGCCCGGGTTACAGAGTAAGTTCCAGGACAGACTCCAGAGCTATTGGGAAACCCTGTCTCGAAACAAACTAAAAAAGAGGCTCGAGCTGGACTACTGACTGTGCACAAAGCTAATCTGATCTGGTAAAGAGTTCACAGTACAGAGTTCACTCAGACTTCTATATCCAACAGAAATGTCCTTTGTTAAAATGTGTTGCTGTGAGTGCCCTGTAACGGTTCTTCTTGGGCATTTATGACTTAGCCACTTAGCTGAGGTCACTGCAGCTTCTAATCCTTCTCCAGGTGCCCAGAAGATATTTTGAAAGGGAAGCAGTTTGCTAGTGTTTTATGATAGTCTCTTAAGTAAACTGTGGGTTTCTTGTGAAAGGAAATTAGGTTTTAGACAGAAACACCTGCACTGCTAGTGCTCCCCACAGGAAGAGTGTGGTGCTGAGCAGTGGTCCGTCTGCCTGACACAGTTTGCATTGTTTTTCTTCTAGGAATGTATGGTGAATAAGTTTAAAAAAGCTTCTATTCGTAAGCAACAGACACTTAATCACCCAGAAGCTTACAAAATAATTGAAAAGGATGTTATGGAAGGTGAGTAGTCAAGTTGTTTTGTAAATTTCTTCTTCTTCTTCTTCTTCTTCTTCTTCTTCTTCTTCTTCTTCTTCTTCTTCTTCTTCTTCTTCTTCTTCTTCTTCTTCTTCTTCTTCCTCTTCCTCTTCCTCTTCCTCTTCCTCTTCCTCTTCCTCTTCCTCTTCCTCTTCCTCTTCCTCTTCCTCTTCCTCTTCCTCTTCCTCTTCCTCTTCCTCTTCCTCTTCCTCTTCCTCTTCCTC